CTGGTGCACTTTCCCTGTGCAGGCGTCATCAGCAAAACCCGTTCAGACTGTGGTGGTGTCTGCACCAAGAGCTGGTCCCCGGCCTCCTGAGCACAGTCCTCACCTGAAGCTTAGCGCTCTGCAAAGGCACTCTGTTAGCAAAGCCCGTATTTTTCAGACACGAGTGGGCCCTGACTATTTGTCTAGGACCTCCAAATAACTTATTTCTAGGTTTTTCTCATCTTGAAATCATCCTTTAACAGCCTCCAAGTGATTTAAGATAAACGTCCTCTTAGGGATGGTTCCTACTCCTGCATAGTTGTCTTCTCTTTTAGTCTTTAATGACATACTACTCTTTGCCAGCCCAAGGAGTATTTCAGCAGTGTTTCACAATCCAAGGACAAAGTATCCTTCTGTTTTTTGAGAATGTGACCTGTCATTGGCATATTGTCCACGAAATTTATTTTGCTTTTGTCCTCTGTTGGAGTATTGAATTAGTGGGTTTTTGATCCGCACAAGAGAAACATAAATAAATTAGGCGTATCCCTTCTAAAAAGTAATATCTCCCATATGCATTTCTTCTGGGAACCAAAGGGAGGGGGGTGCTTGTTTTCCTTGATGGAATGAGGCTGTCCAAAAAAGCGATGCTTTGGTGGTAAAACAAAGGATTTATGTTGAGATGGGCAGATGGATGAAGCAGCGATTTCCAGATGGGGTTCAACTTTTCTAGGATCCAAGCTAGGGTCTCACATCATTCTGTCATCATCAGACTATCAGTCCATTACTGCAAATCTAACCCACAATGCTAATGGCTTTTAGGGGAAATAACAATTGTAAATTCTTTGCATATGCCCATAAAAGTTGCTCCATCTCTTGTCCAGTCCAAGGACTCCCTTCAGTGTCTGGAACACCCCCTTGCTTGCCTTCCCAGTTCACTGCTTTCCCGGTTTCACTATAACTTAATGATGCTTTACTGGGATGAAGCATGAAAATAAAAGTAGAGACTTTCCACTCTGGAAGTGGTTCATTCAATGTTTTGCTTGTGAAAAAGCACTGCCCGTAAATAGGCACTGATAGGTGCACACAGAGAAAATATGACAGCCGTTGCTGCTTAGGTTTGTACAGTTGCTCTTTTGCCCGCAGGAGTTTTCTATGGTCCTTCAGAAGGAACCTGTCACATATTTCACTTGAAATAATGACACAGAGGGTGTATCTAACATATCTAAGCTTCTTGTGACTCCCGTTGATGAAGAAGCATTCTTCCTGGCTTACAGCATGGCTTATCTCTGTTGAGATTGCCACCCCAACAAAAGACCAGGAACGTTCCTTCAGAATAAGGGTGGATAAGCCAAATATTTAGGCACACACACACACACACGCACACACACACACAAACACATGCGTGTACATATATGCATGGTTACCACCTGAGGGCAGAATTAAGGCTACATTTACCGAGCAAAACACAGGCTCTGCTGCACACAGATGCTTCAGCCATGATGAAGATGGCAGGCGTGTTGCTGCTGTTTGCTCTAGCCCTTTGCTGCATCCCAGGTGAGTAGCTTTACTGCCTCCTGCTCTGCCTTTCAGTAAGTGCTGGCTGTCTTTAAAACCACAAAAACATCCTCAGACTGGCAAGAGCTTTATTCTACAAGGACTTATTTACTCCTAGAAAGATAGTGTTGAAATGACTTGACATCAAAGACTATCACTTATGGGGTAATATTTTAGCAACAGAACTGAGTGGGTAAGAGCAACTGTGGGAACAGCTCTACTCTTAGCGCTAGTTTATGCATAATGAAAGAAGTGACATGTACGTGGTACAACCCGGAGACTCAGACATCCAGTATGTAACCTCTGAAATGTTGCAGAAACACAAATTATTTTACTGAATGAAAGGGAACATTTCTTGTAGTCATCCTGAACTGAGATGCAATTTGAGAGCCTGAACAGTTGTAAAGCTTTATAAAAGTTACATCTCGCTAAATACTCCTCTTACTTAAGAACTATTGTGGCATGTAGTTGCCAGCTTTATGACCCTGTTTGCCTCAATAACTTGCTTAGCTTTGGATACCTGTCCTGCTCCACGCTCTGAACTATGGAAAATGCCTTTCTCTTCTTTCATTTTGTACACCCTTTTCCATCTTGGCTGTAACCCTCATTAAAAAAATTATACTCCAGAATCAATGTTGTAAACATACAATATGGCACAAAATTTTGCCTGAAATTCCTTTTGGCTAAGAAGTAATTTGCTAACAAACAGTGAATTGAAAGTTGCATATTCAGGGTATGCATTCACAGATTTTTAACTCTAACAGAACCCATGAATTGCATTTGTATCATAGTTCCTTCTTTTTTTCCTTTTTCCAGATATTGATGCACTGCAGGTAAGGGACAGATCTTTCTATTTTCCATCATTTCTTTCCTTAAAGCAGTTTCTGTATAAATCCTTACTAATCACATTGTGATCGAGCATTTGAAAATCCTGAGTCATCCAGCTGTCTGAACAATATTTGCCACAGATGTTATCGGGTGAAATGGCCATTTTCATCTGACGATAGTTTCAACAAGCAGTGCAGTAGTCAGTTTGAGTCCAAGTTATTGTCAAAGTTACTGCAGCAGCATTTACGATGGTTACACAGGCTCTACATTGCTGGCGGCAATGTACCACTGTACTCCTGCCCTGTCCCTGGGCTTTCTCTCAGCATCTGCTTCTGGCCAGTACCGGGGGGAGCTCAGGGTGTGTGTGGGTCTCCTAATGTCACCTTGCTTACATATCTGTTGTTGAGAGTTTTCTTGTGAACATAGATTGCATCTATCTACAGGGCTACTGCAGTAACTACGTGGTACCCGTCTGTAGTATGGAGTACATCCCACACTGCGGGTCCGATGGCGTAACGTATGGCAATAAATGCTTATTCTGCAATGCATTCCTGTATGTATGAAAATAAATTTCTTCACTAACCAAATGGTGAACTAACTTAGCTTAAACTAACTAATCAGTCTTGGAGACTGGTTGGAGAAGTAAAGTTTTTTTATTTTGTGTTTACCTGTTCTCTTACTAGCAAGCGTCAGTTTTTTATTGGGAGAGTTTGCCAGGATTTCCTTTCTTTCAGGTATAAAGAGGTAACATTTCATAGAGTTCTTCATTTCCCTCTTAAGTATTTTGCTGAAGAACTTTCTTCCAGCAAACAAAGTCTATTTCCTACAGACTATTTGTTCTTCCTTTAAATTAAGTCTTTATCTTGTCTTTGAATGTTAGTAATAAAAGGAAATACCTGGAATAGTGTTCAGAAGTTTTTTGCTTTGTTTAAGTTCCCCTATGATATATCCTTCACCAGAGGGAGAGACAAACAGTAAAAGCCCAGATGTTCTGTCTCTGAGGTACTGATTTCTTTCTCCGCAGGAGAAGCGGTCGGACTCTTCGCTTGAGATATCTTCAGAAGTGTTAACTTCTCGACAGGCTTCAGCTCAGAGAGAGGAACCCTCTCTGGCAATGTTCCCCATAGCAGATGCTCCCCTAAAGCCTTGTCCTGAACCTTGAAAGCTCCTGATGAATCCTGAACCTTAATAAAAGAAGCCGTCAGCATTTAAGTCTTGCTTTAATAATATGTCTCATTCTGTTTTTACCTAAGATGTTGCATGATTACATCACTGCAACAGTCCTGTGGTGCGGGTATTCATGGGCAAATTACAGGGAGAGGGAATACTTTGTTCTGAGCTACAAAGAAATCAACCCCAACTGCAAAGGCAATGGGTAGATCTTGAGGGCATCTGCCTTCATCCAGCTTTCCAAAAGAAAACCAGGGCTGGAGATGCATCCTGGTGCAATGCTCCAATTGATTTATTCCACTAAGGGCATCTCGGACAGACACTCTCTGCCTGGGTGATAGGAACTGTCTGCCTCCCTAACCGCTGCTGTCAAATACCTGCTGCGTCACGCCTGCATTGCTGTATGGTAGACTTTGGCAGCATGAAGAGGCCCCAAGCAAACCTGAACACACACATAATTAGAGATAGTCCCAAGACTGTTGCAGTTGGGGGTGTTTTGATGCTGTTCTGCAAAAGCCATGGAGGCACAGAGGGTCTTGCTGGCACTGGGAGCTGCTCATCCCTGTTTCAGTTTCCAGGGTTACCCCCAATTTCTTATGCCCACAAGAGAAGTGGCGAAGAAGGGCAGTTCCCAGATGCATCTCTTCCCCTTGCAGGCAGGGTTGGAAACACACCTTTTAGGTGACAGAAGGCCTTTTGCAATCCGCTCTGCCTCCCAAAGCAATGGGACAGCGTGTTTTCTCTGGGCAGGCGGATACCTGGCTGCCCACATTCATGTTTGCAATGTTCATCGGTGCGGGGTATTGCAGAAAACCAGTGGGCAGTCAGTCCTAACAGACCTGATGTTCAGAGGACTGCTAGCAATCACTACCGCAGCCCGTTTCTGCACCTCACCCACCACTTAGCTGCTGCTTGTAGGTAATTACATTGACTGTCGCTTGTAGAGGATCCTTTGAGATTCTTCGGCCTCTGGAAATCTCGGTTGATGAAAGGAAGGGCTCAGAGTCATAGCGTTAATTTATTATTCATTAACAGCGAAGCGCTGGCAGTGTGGCATGCTGTACAGGCAGAAGTCTCACAGTCAAATAGTTAATGATCTTAAGTGACAATGTGTCACTTTCCAGAGACTGGAGAGAGCAGCTCTCTGAAGGGAGACAATTTATTTCCAAAAGACATGACTCTCTGCAACCATTTAGTGCCAAGTCCCTTCCCGGGGCTGGAATGTCCCTCCTGTGAGAGGGAGGTCTGTGTGCGGGAAGGCATTTCAGTGTCAGATGCAATTTCTTAGGACCCAGCCAAATTGAGGCTCTGGGAGGTAGTGCTGGGGGTGTGTGACTCAGGGGCTTCAAGCTCCTTCTTGTCCCCCTCCACTGCGCGAGGGAGTCGGGGGTAAGAGAACACCAGCTCCAGCACTTATTTTCTTTCTTGTGGAGCAGCAGAGAGGATGAGGATGGCCCCCAGGAGCCACGATGTCTTGGAGACAAGCGGAGCTCCCGATCGCGCTCAAGATCCCAGTGGTCCTCAGAGGGCATCTTCCTGGGGCCATGTCCGCTAAACGGGAAAATCCAGCAGGCAATTGAGGGAAAACTGTGAGTAGAAATGAACGGGGACAAATCCTCCACCTTGATGCAGGGTTATGCAGTATTACTGAGGAGTGACCGAGGGCAGAGCAGGACCCCAGCGGCACCCCAGACCCGCTGCCCCAGGGGGGCAGCTGCTTAGGATGGAGAGGAAGACAGTCTCTTTTATGGGCACCTCGCTGGAAATAATTTTTTTGTTGCTGCTCAATAAAATCCTGCCACAACAACACAAAATCCTCTCACCATTACTAATCTAACTCTGCCGCTGGGAAATTCAAGGCAGGAAACATTGTCTGCCTGTTGAGGTGTTTTATGGTACAGTTCTTTAAGCAGTACCTCGGCACTTTATGTCATTATCTGATGTTTGTGAATTTAGGAAATGCCATTCGATTACCCCACAACCTGATTAACACATTGCATGTAGTTATTTTGTTCTGCTCTATTTTATCCAATGCTTCTGTTTTAGTGTATTGTTCTACTTGTTGCTGGCCAAAATATACCTCAGGCCAGTCTAGCCCTTTCTGTTAATGCAGTTTCTCCCTGAGGCTTCATTCAGGATAAACAGTTTGTTACTACATTCTTTCTTGATGCGGAGAAAAATAAAATGACGTTTTAAAAGAAAATTACTTGGAGACGTCGTTTTTGGGGGCTGGCTGTGTCAGAGCTATTGCAGTGAGGCAGAGCTGAGACTTGCTGAGGGGTTGGGATGTGCGGGGCCAGATCCTCAGGTTTTTGCTGTTAGTATGCGGCTCCAGACAGTCAAATTATTCCAGACACCCTTGCCTGTGATATCATCTATGCTTAAACGACTGGGGATATGCAGGCAGCAATCAGATAGCTGAACTGCAAGGAGAAATATTACATGAGTGCGGCTTAGAGCAGGGGCTTTGCTTGCTGCAAATTGAATTCACGTTCTCATAGAAGATGCAGTTCTGCCCCCGTGTGCACAGGTCTGGGAACAGCAACCTGTTTTGTGAGCTCTTGCAGTGTGCCACATCGCTAGTCAATGGCAAAGAAATGCATTTTGCATTTGACTCTACAGTAGCATAGACTGGAGCACAGTACCACTTTATTCTTGATTACGGTGTGGTGTGTGACAGCAGGATAGGGGAGCAAGGACAATGATACCACTGCTGGAATAACAACATGTGGTCTTGCATGCACACATCCACCTTTTTTATTTTCCAAAAAAATTAAAAAGTATCATTTCTCTTTGTAGCCAGATGAAGCCTGTGACAAGTTTTAAACTAAAGCAGCGAAAATAAATGAAGAATTTTTTTAGGTCATGGTAGATTATGGACTTGTTTGAGGTAGGGAATCTCAGGAGCAGAGGAAAATATTTCCAGGAAAATATCACTGTTATGGGAAGAAATAATGCTGGGTTAGAAACTGGGCAGAATTTCCAGAGTTATTGGAGATTTACCTTAATACAAGAGGTTCCATCATATGACTACCACTGCTTATCCCACTCACGTGGCCATAACCACCTTGACAGATTGCCCTCCAAGCACTTGAAATAGCAGGATCAGTTTTATTTAAACTTTTCTGTGGTTCTCATATCTGTAGAAAGGTTAAAATAATCCTATGGCCAAAGTCACTTTACTGAGCCCACCATCATGAGACTCTTGAATATCACAGAGGGGTTTTGGCAGGTGAGTTCATTTTGCCCTTCCCATCTGCAACATGTGTAATACATTTCCCGAAGCTCACTCTTCCAAATGCATGGAGACAGTTGTTTTTGACTGCTCCTAATGCCTGTTTTCAACACATCTGCTGCCCCACAATTACTGCTGTCCCATTCCCTCTGTTTCTTATTAATGGAGCTCCTTGTGCAACCCCACGTCACACCTAGCCCAGCAGCTCTCGCTGCCCTGCCCTTGACTGCTGCCAATTGTCTCCCATCCTTTCTCACAGACCCTGTAGCAAGACTCTTCCCTCGCTTCTCTTTTTCTCCCTGCTGCCCTGTGAAGTGGCAGGGATTACTGGAGGAAAAGAACTGCTTTTGGAGCAGTCCTGGCTGGCTACCCTGACCCTCAGAAGCAGCATGTGGATTCGGGGGGGATCTCCCCAACATATCTAATTAATAAAAGGGCAGGTGTTGACCAAACACGAGAATGATGCCACTCCCTAGCAGATACCCTGCCATTCACAACAGCTCCTGAGCAACTGGTGTGATTTCAACTTGGCAGGAGAGGAAACTGGAGAAGCAGCACAGTTTCTGGTAACTGGGGATCTCGGATCTGGAGGTGGATATGGGCTCAGGTCGCAGGGCTGGAGAGGAGGGAGACTGCATTCCTGTAGCCTCACTAACCACCGCCGAGCCAGCACGTGCCATCTCCACAGGTGGCTGGTGCAAGTTCTGAGGAAGCCTTGTTTTCAGGCTTTAGCATTCTTGCCCCTGGAGAATAATCAATATTAATGCTTCTGTGATTACTGCTTCCCTTCCAAATATGCTCACAATCAGTTCAAGGAATCTGAAAGTCAAGTCGCTCAGGATGCTAAGAATACAACAGAAACAGCTTTCAAAGGAAGCCTTCAACTTCCGATATTTGTGAATGAGATCCAAATAGCATTACTCATTTATTTTTCAGGAAAATTATTTCATTGATATGAACAGGCCAAATCCCGCAAGCTCTATTCTGTGACTACGGTTCCCTTACACTGTCAGCTACACTTTTATGATTTATCTGCCCATGCCAAGACTTGAACGTCTCCCAGGATAATAAGAAAAACAATTCTGATTTTCTATTTAAAACTCAGGCTGCCTTTAAGCCACCTGTATGAATCAAGCTTCTTCTAAAGCACAGACATATTCCATCCCTCGCTTCCTTCCATGACTACCTTAAATCAAAAACATATTTTTTATGCTGTATTCCTTATTTGTTTTTCCATATACTTGCAATAGAGTTGAATCACTTAACAGAACCTAGCACGTTATTCTTCACTTATCTTCCTTAAAACAAGACTTTCAGCTGACACTCTAAATTTAATGCCATATAGTAGAGCGGGAAGGGGGGAGCCTAAGGACTCACCTTCTGTTTGCAGCTGCTACAAATTTTTCTTGAATGTCTTTGGTATTAATAAGCCCATGTCACCTGCACAGAACACCACTCGCTTGCCATTAAGAGGAAACATTATCCCAGCCCCAATTTAAGGCTACTTATTCTCATCATTTCTTAATCAGACTCATGCCCATTGCCAACAGATGAATAACTCTTGCTCCTACATAGAAATGTCTTTATAAACTTCTGAAGTTTTAGGTAATGCTTTCCTGATGTGATGACTGTTTCCTTCCTGTTGGTGAGAAATTCAGTGTACCAGGAAACTACAGGAGAGAGTGTGGAGAGGTTCATTGAGCCCTCAGCATCTTTAAAGTACACTGATGCCTGCCAAACCCCAGATAATACGTCTGTAAAACATCAGAGTGTCCCATACTGCTGTCCCCCCACTCTGGTGTACCATGCAACTCTCCTAGAGCCCAAATACCGTCTAGTGTATGTAATATGGTGTGCACAAGTTCAAACACTTTCAACAAATGGGCTTTTTTTGCTTTACCAACTTCCATATGTAATTTCTCAACAGCTACTGTTGGGACAGTGCTCTTGTTTGGAAAGTACAGATCACTCATTGTACAGCAGGGCGCCTTTTTTAATGAGCTGGGTGTAGCTCACATTTTTGCTTAATTCTTCTGGTCATCTCTCTAGCAAACAAGTATTCTTCAGCGCTCACGTCAGTAATCAATACAATTTTCTTAGTTTACAGAGCAAGTAATTATGGGATGACTTCACAAGGTCAGGGAGACATATATCTATAGTGCGGAGCGAGGAGACTGAGGACCATCTTCTGAACTCTGAACTTCTGAACAGTGACAGATCTGCAAGTAACAGACTATACAACCATCTCTGCTATGAAGACAACAAGAAGCGTTGCCCTTCTTGGGTTTGTGCTTCTCAGCTGCCTTTCTGGTAAGCTGTTTTTGTTACAGTCTATGCTAGTATCTTTAGTCCTCCTGAACCTCTGCCTTTATATATACATCTTAAAGGAGAGTTCAGCCTTTTGGAGAAGTGATGATTTAGTAATACATGAGCTCTCTTTTAATGAACTTTATCCTTGTGCAGATAAATGCTATAGATCGGTAGGATGCATCTGTCTGATTTAAACTTATGAGACTTTGTGGGGATAGTAGTGCTGCAAAAGGAGAAAAGTTTATGTCCTATTTCTTCTTTAGTGAGTAAAAATTTCTGGTTTCACAAATAATTGATTTTTTAAATCTTAGCATATAACTTCTTGTTTACTTGGAGTAGATAAAACATTTGGGAAAACAATAACTTCTCAGTAATAAGAAAGTGTATTTGGTTACTCTGTTGGGAAATGGATGATTCCAAAGGAATTTTAGTCAAGGACTTTGTACAGTTTTTATATTTTATAATCTCTGTTTTTATTGTAGATTTTGTTATTGCTCAACGATGGGTGAGTAGTAGATCTTCTTTGTCATTTAGTCTTGATATCTAAGTCAAGATGAATAATTCATACTCACACTGTAACCCAGGGAAGGCTTGAGGGAGAAAAAAAAAGAGAGTGAGTGCGAAAGGAGGAAGGAAAAGCGCCCCTAAGTATTATACCTCCCCTTTCCCCCAAAATAAGAAAATATCTTTGTCACAGAAAGATAATTTACCATGTTGATGATAAAAAAGACAGCAATTAATAATGTAGAGTGAGAGTAAGCACATCACAGAGTGCCAGCAGAAAATCCATACAACTATTGAATAACTGCCTAAATATCTTCCCTGTCTTGATTCCCCAAGGAATGATTGGTTTTGCCTGCAATTCTTGCCGAAAGTACTGAAAGTCTTGATAGCGAAAAGGTGCTTTTGCGTGCTATAAGAAACATGGTATATTTTGTTCCCTCTCTTCTTCACCATGGAGGAACGATAGAGAAAAATAATGACCAACAGTAGCCTCCCAACACAGCGAAAACATGATTAACACAAACACACCCGTCTCTCCACTTGGAGACATTACAAGTCCTCTTTAACAGGCCTCCTGCAGCTCGTACTCGTTGTCTGGAAAAACGCAGCTTGCCTGTCCCCGCGACTACAAACCTGTCTGTGGGACCAACAGCGTGACCTACCCCAACGAATGCTCCCTCTGCAAAGAAATCTTGATGAGTACAAGGTCTCTTGATTACCTACGATGCCAGTTCAAGTAGTAAACAAAAGCCTTTGGGGTTGTGACTAATTGTGGGGTGGACTAGATTTTTCTAAGTTTCTGTCTTCACCAATGCCTGCGATCTTCCGTGTCAAAGCTCCTGAATCTGATTAATTACTGGGGCTTTACGAGTGGAGATACTTAATGAGTGAGACGACTACATGGTATCAACAGATTAATCTTTCCTTTCCTTCTCTCTCCCTCCCTCTAGCTATAACCAAGCCATCAACAAGAAGCACGATGGAAGATGTGTTAAGGTAAGGTCTGAGATCGCTTCCTTCTCCTGCCGCACTGAGCAGCGGTGGGTGAAATGATGGCAGAGAGCTAGACAGAAACCTCACCTAGGATTAATTCTGTATTAAAACCACACAATTTAAAACTGTCAGAAATGGAATGAAAATTAAGAATTTCAGATTTGCAAGAATTTCTTTTAAATTTTGTTTGAACAGTTTAAATCAGTGAGTTTTAAAATGTTATCTTGTGTATGACACCAGACTTAAGAATGGAAACTTTTGATTTCAATAATTCAGCGTTATCAAAACACTTCCCTTTAGGCTTGTTGAAGCTAAGAAATTCCCAAAGGAAGTTTGGATTTTGACTAAATCATAATTTTGTAACAGAAAAAAACAACTCTATCAGAACATTTATCATAAAGTTTGTTTATTAATATATGGAGCTACCGTGAAGCGGAGAAGTATCTCTATTTTTAGTTTAGAGTGAGAAAGAAAAGAAACACTCTGGCTGTGCAATTTAACATAATACAACAACTTTCATTTCAGTACACTCAGAGTAATTGCAGAAACACCAAGGTGAGCGTAAACTCCATTTTCAAGCAGCATCGACATTTCGCAGCAAAAGTTGCTGCTGCATAGGGCATTTTGGGCAAAGATCCTTCATGGTGGCGTTCACAGTGAAAATCCCCAAGACAACAGGGATGAAGCCAATTTCAGGACAGGAAAAGACCAGATGCCCCAGGGTCATGCTGTACCCACGTGCGGGATTTCACCTGTTTGTGCTCCTCCAATGCCACCATGCTGGGGCTGGAAGCTCCTCTCCCCTCGCAGCTCTGGGGAGATGTCTCTTGCACCACGCTCCATTACACAGGACTGATGGAAAGGGGAGCAGAGATTAAAATGTTGTTCTGTGACTGTTTCAGCTCGACTGTACTGGCTACCTGAGATCAAGCAGTGGCCGTACGACCCCCTGCACCCTGGAGTACAGGCCTATCTGCGGCACCAACGGGGTTACCTACAGAAACAAATGCAACTTCTGCAATGCCGTGGCGTAAGTGAAGGGGCTGGGTCATAGGAGGGGTTTCTGGATCAGGAGGTGCTCGTGTTGGTATTTAGAGCGTAATGAGGTAGTTTGACTTGTGAAGCGGCTGCACTGTGCTCATTCATTCTCAACTTGCTTTCTTCCCAAAGGAATGGACTGGACATAAACCTGCGTAATGTTGGAGAATGCTTCCAGGTGCAGGTAAAGCACAGAAATCTGCACTCTTAACTGCGGCTACAACACATTTTACAACACAAATTCACTGAATCATAGCTAAATAATAGAAATGCCTGCACTGTCCTGGTGCATTTGGCCTGGAAATAGGATTTGAGGAAAATAGTTAAAGTATGCCAGGGTCAAAGGGTATTGAACCAAATCCATGACTCGGATATGCAGTCCCCGCTCTGACCTGGGAACACAGCAGTCATCAGGTGCCGAGACCTTCATTTACTGGGAAAAGGGCTGAGCAAGAGATGCTGCCTCATCTCTTTTGCGGGAGAGCAGGAGGGTCATATACTACCAGCACTATTAGTAGCGGTGATTCCTCGGGTGGGAGTACTTTCTGCAGTGTGGCTTGTGACCATCCACTTTCTGTACGCTTGCCTCTGCTACCCCGCTGAACCAGAACAGAGCAGCCAGTGGGAGGGCCAACCTGGAAATATCAGCATGGTCATTTCACTATTTATAATAATATTTATTAGACTTTTTTTCCTCCGCTTTCTCTGCACTTCAGGCTGTTCCAGGCAAGCACTTTCTCTGCCTTTGAGTTTGCAGAGTCGCTAGAACAACAGAGCCCTATACCTGAAAAGTGCTTTTATGCTTTGACATATCATAAACATTAAATAAACATGAAGCACTCATGTAGGAAAATACAGGGAAGAAAAGCTTTAAAACCTGTTGTTGCTCCATTATTAGCAGATCGACTGCAGCGGACACAAGGATGGCAATGCCGTGTGCACCGCCCAGTATGACCCCGTTTGCGGCTCTGATGGCAAAACTTACGGAAACCCGTGCGAGTTCTGCAACGCAGTTGTGTAAGTATGGAGCTCACCACGTAGCCGTGAAACCAGAGGAGCTGGAGCACACACGCATCGGTGGCAGCTGGTGTGGAAGCCCCGGAGCTCCCGTTAGCCCCTTGGTAAATCCATCCCTGCTCTGCGTTCCTCTTCCGACACTCACTCCTCTGTCCCCCCCCCCAGGCACTGAAGATCTTAAGCCCGAGTGAGTCTTCTCCTTCCCTTGCAATTAAATCCAGATCCCCAGTTGCAGGCTCATAGTGTTGCTGACTCCCTCCCTGCCAGAGTGATTTAAACTGTGATCATAGGAAGTGTTCAAAATTATGGGGTTTGTCCCAAATCTCTTTCACGTGAGAAAGTGTGTAACCTGGGGAATCAGGAAAGAGGTGAAACATTAGGTGGAGTACTTTATAACTTGGAGATTGTGAAAGCATTGGCTTATTTGGGTGAAGTTAGACTATAAAACTGAGATCCATGCCCGTAATTTTGGTCTCCCTCTTTCTCTTCAGGCGGAGCAGGGGAACTCTGTTCCTCAGACACCGTGGTGAGTGCTGAGCGCTGGAGCTATACACTTTGCCCTGTTTTTTCCCTTACAAATCCTGCAGTCAAACACACTCTTCCCTGCTCCCTCGACTGTTGGTCTCTGCTTTGATTGATCAATAAATTAAACAGGCACTCACTTTACCATGGACTGGTTTTTGTTTTTTTTCTTTTCAGGGCAGGGGTAATGGTCTTCAGGCTTTTAGGTACTTATCTGTCAGGCAGGAGAAGTTGTGAAATAAACCACAATAAAGAGCAAAGCGTAACACCCATCACACACCAGACCAAGCCCTCATGGGAGTACGTCACTCCATACCAAACCATCAGAAGAGAAACCGAGCTGCTATAAAATACTGCCACTTTCCTAATTTCGGTGTCTTATAGAGTGTGAATGGATTTGTCTTTGTAACAGCACTGAGTCTTGGAGGAACTGGTCCTTTTAGGGGCCCTGGCACGGGGGGATGAGCCTGGAGAAGTGTGAAAGAGAAAGGTGGCCATGGTCAGCCCTACCTGGTCACACCTGGGCAAGGAGCAGGTCTGGCTGTGCGTTATAAAAAGGAGGCTTATGGCAAAGGGAGGAGGCTATCTCATAGGAAAGAAAATTAGGAACTGCTGCTTCCGTGAAGGGTGTGTCCATCGAGACTGTGTTGATCAGCAGAAAATTGCAGCAAGCTAGGCAAGGCTATAATGAGCCTAATGAGAACCCGAGGAGAAATTAGACTGGGCTGGGGCTTTCAGCTTCTTGGAGAAGAGACCTGAAAAGCTGTACTTGGGGTATTTGAGGCAGAGGTAGGACAGGGGATGGTTCAGGAAAAGGTCTTGGATTTTCTAACCCTAGGAGAGAAGGGCGAGAAGTTGTGCTGGTAGCTGCAAGATGCTTTCTGTCTTGGGGAAAAAAGGCATGGAGATAAAATCTTTGTGGGAGCCTAAAAAGTGCACTGGAGGAGCAATGATATATATGAATGTTCATGATGATGTGCCATATTTTTGGGTGAGTCAAGGAGTTAATATGCAAACAGCACAGGCAAAAAGTCCCTGGTGCCATGGCTCACGCACTCCCTTCCTCTTCTTTTCTCCACCTCCCATTCTCTTGTTACATAGCAAGAGTATCTGCTGCTAAGGCTGATATTTAGGACAAAATCTGTGACTTCCAAGCCTTTTCTTTGGTTCTTGTTTCCTGAAGTAGATAATTTCTTGACCAGGAATTTTGTAGGTGCTTCCCACCAGAAGGTAAGAGGCTTGTCCTTCCCCTAGTACTAGCACAGAGCAATGCTCTGTCCTAGGAAGAGGGATGGAATGTCTTATTTTCAGGATTTTTTCTGTTACTACAGGCAATATAAATCACATCATGCCTTTGTGCCTGATCTTAAGAAAAGAAAAACTGGAGAGTCATGAGAGTCCTCGCTGCTTACCTGCTTGTGTGTGTGTGAAAAATAATTAAGGAACAGTCTAAGTAGTTAGTGGATGTGAACAGAGACCTGTCAGCACAGAACAGAGCTCTGCTATAATTTCTTGTTGGCCAAGAGGTTTACGGAGTGGCCGCAGACTAGTGGAGTTTTGGCTATAGCAGGAAATCATCTTCCTGATCTGGCCTGAGGAAGCCAGATACTTGCTTAGGAGCTTAGAAGGCTTTGGAAAAAGCCCAAAGAAGAGCTGCTCACCTACAGGGAAAAGGAGGGCAAATGGCAAGTCCTGGGTATATGGCTGTATCCTAGATGCCTCATGAGCCTCTAAGGAAGAGCTCTTTAGAAGATGGAAAGATTTGTATCACATAAGACTAAAGACTGGCCCAGCACAGGTAAGTACTCGGCTTGACACCAGCAAGACTCTGCCCAACTACACCCCTTAGACTGCAAAGCAAGGTCCAGGTGCCACTCTTCTATCCCTGATTTTCAGAGAAGTCAGAGGGACAGAAGAATTCCCTCACCTATGCCAGCAACTGGCCTGTTTCAGATGTTATAAAGAAGTGGAAAGGGGTAATAACGATAATCACCTGGTTGGTAATTTAGTCTCTTCCTCTCCTCAGCCCAGAAGGGATTGGTCCCTGCGGTACATTTTCTAAGGCTTTAGCCAGTCAGTTATGCTGCAGCAACCGAAATGTTTGGGTAGATAAAGGGCTGAGGCATTAAGGCTGTGGTTGTGAGCAGTGACGTATGACACTAGAAAACGCAAACAAGTAGTGCTGTGAGTGGCAGAACTAAGCATGATTTTGAACGGCGCTGCGGCTGACTGACTTGATAACTAAATTATATGAGAGGCTGCGTCATGAGCTCACCCTTAATAGACATCTGAGAATTCACCTGTCAGTCACAGTTTCTCTGCTGTGTGGATTTTAGGATGTCTAGCAAGCTGCAAACTCTAATGCTTCCCCGAATGCAGGGCATTCATAACATTGCTTTCCTGCAGAAACTCTCTCCCTTGCTGGCTGAGGACGTTAGTAGCATCTTTCCTCTGTTGCTAGAAAAATGTATAAAAATGTATTTATTGTTTTTAATTTTTTTCACTCCTATGTCAAATTTGGTTGGAACTAGTTGCAGATTCAACAGATTCAAAATTTACTGGGGGGACTAATAAACCGATATATCTATATACATTGCTCTCCTAAGCCTTGTCTCCTTAGGAATGCATACTAAAATTTTAAGCTTATTTTTATCTGAACAGGTATTTTGCAAATGGTGCAGCTGAACACAAATCCTTGCACAGACTCAGCTGGAAATAGAGCTCAAGTCTCCCAATTCCCCATCAAATTCCCTTCATTGCCACTTGCTGTGGGAGCGGAGCCCTAACATATGTTTGTGAATGTGAAAAACTGGAAAACGTTGACAGCTAGAGTTTAAAAAGTTCAGGGAGGAGTCAGCAGTTCTATCTGGGACTGTGCACACAGCTATGAGAGCATGTCACATCAGAGTGCTTCTCCACCCCAACCCAACAAATTTAGAACTATCCTCAAAAATAGCCAGGGAACAACATATAATTGGTTTCACAGACAACACATTCTCATGCTGTGATTTATTTCGTAACGTCTAGTGAGTGTCATCATGCCGCACTCAAAGCCTCGGAGCTGGCATTCAGCGAGGGCCCAGAGAATGAAAATTACCAGCTTCCCTGATGAATCACCGCTTTGAAAATTCACCCTTGTGAGAATCCTGTGACTATTTAGAAAAAAAAAAAAAGATATTACAAGCCCGAGTCTATCACTCATATAATTAGCCCTTTCTAGGTTTGATGTGGACAGGGCAGCATTCCTAAAGCACCATAAACATGGCCAGGACCAATAATGGCTTTAGAAACGAAGTGGAGAAGTTCTCACAATTAAGGTGGGGAATGAGGACAGCTACGGATGGGCGCATAAATACACAGAAAGGCAGGTCTGTGTGCGCACTGTGGGCTCCGGTGCTGAGACGACACCTCCCGCACAGATCGCTTGGCTTGGACTAGAGCTACCTGCAGCATGAGGGCAACAGGTGCCTTAATGCTTCTCAGCCTGCTGCTGCTCTCTTTCGTCTCAGGTAAGTGATCTTTTCTCTAGCATAGAAAAAGAAACCCAAAACCTTTCCTGACAACAGCAAACTTCAGAGAGCCTTCATCACTGGATGACAGGCTTGAAGATAAAGCTGAGCAAGTCGAAAATGTCTGCAGGACTTGCTCACTCGTATGACATATTTCCACTCCTCATGTGCCTCCGCAGTGAATAACGCAGCGGAGGTGTCACTGGGAGACAGAGTGAGCAAATTCTAAGCGGCTCTTTCAGCAAATGTACCAAAGTGTAGAGTGTAATTATGAATTTTTGGTACAGATGTTTGCTGGAGAGTTTTGCTGAACCAGTTAAAGAAACTCACTCACGTCAGGGTCATCAGCTCTTGTTTTGGTCCTAAGCATCTTGGTATTTGGTGTTTTCCTTGGAGATGTGGAAACGTAATTAGATGAAAGTTTCAGCTTTCATTTATGTTGCAAAGAAAAGCCTGAAAATTAAATTCAAATGTCCTCAAGGAGTCAGAACAGAGAGGGCAAATTAAAAGGATCCAGCATTTATTTATCTGGAGATTTACACATCTCTCTGATGATCTGGGGAAGCTGAATGATGATTTTTGAACATATAGGTCACATCAGTGTTATCAGTTGCTTGCATCCAGCAGACCCAGCTCTGGAAGGTTTGTGGTGACAGTTATTGAAGAATGTGCAGAACAAGAATTATTTATACTTGTTTTTCTGTGAATAATTTGAATAAAGAATTCACTTGAGAAAACTGCAAGCTGTGCATGGCGAAAAGAGGTGAATTACTTTGTACACATTATTCATTATGAAATATTCATCTGTCTCTAATTGAGTCTTAATTGGGACTGGATTCCATCAGAGTGCTGAAGCTTCCTTCCAAGGCCAGGCAGAATAGCAGCAAACACTGTGATCTCCTATGAAATAAACAAATGTCAAGAGACATCATCACAAAGTCTTGTGTAGCCACATGTAATATTTATAAAAACTATCTAATAAGCTATTCTGTAAATAATATGCAGATAGCCATAACAGTGACTTTGCAATTAAGGCAGCCTAGCCTAACCTGAGGACATGATAAATACACCAGTGCCAGGCATAAAACACCAAAGGGCAATAAAATTGGCAGAAGAAGTAGGGTGGGTTGATGGATGATGGTCTAGCTGACTGAGGGTTGGGTGGGATTTCCAACGTGTGGGGGCCCAAGTGTAGGACAAAGTCCTCCCATCTCCTGCCCCAGCTTCCCTCCTGCTCAGAGCCACCTGAGCAGCATCACAGCCGGCAGTGACCCCACCGACCCAGCAGGCACCGCCTGGCATCCGAACCTCTGCCGCCCCGCTGCCGTGAGAGATACTGGGTATTTGTCCCACAGTGTTGTGACCCAGATTCTGCAAATCTGCATTCAGTCCACTCTTGAGTGTCAGGCTCCCCCTTAGAGACATCGCAGGGTCGCCCTGCCCTGCAGCTATGACTCAACCTACGCGCCTGACTGCAGCCTTTGCAGTGAAGAATTACAAAGAGGATGGACTGATTACCTTCAAGCCCAGAGCCTGTGGTTACAGTGGGTATTTTTGCACTCTTTTACTGACCGGTACTGCCTGTTCTGCTCTGTAGCACCCCATGATGTCTCTTTGTATCTCTCCTGGGATGAAGTTCTTCTGGGAGAGTCTCTGGGCTGTGCCATGCTAAGGATGGCTGTAAAGCTGACCACGGGGTCCCCTTCTCCACAGTACACTCTTGTTAGAAGTACCAGCCATTTTCGCTGCTCAGAGGTGCGGGAGCCTAAAAGCCTTAAAAGTCAATACAGCTTTAAAACTCTGTTGAGCGTGGCTCCAGATCCGATATGGCAGCTCGCTTCCCCGGGAGTGGCTGCCTTCCAGGAGATTGGGTTATGTGTCTGAGGTGCAGTTAGCAGCTGAATGACTGATTACATGGTATTTTATAACATTTTTCAAAAAAGCAAAATACTGAAAAGCAATTCAAATAATGTACTTCCTGCCCCCTCCTCTGCCACACAGGCTGACGGAGTAGGAAAAACCTGGTGTGTGTTTCACTGTGGTTTGCATAAAGCGTTTGTGACTTTAGTTGATCCTCTGTCAGAAAATAATGCTGACGTGTAAAATCTGTTTGGTTTTTGTTGTTTTTTTTATTCCAGATGTGGCAGGTCAAGACATTGAAGAGGTTAGTGCAGCTGTTTCTGCTTACTGAATCTGCATTTTCTAGAGGAGTGGTTTTGTAACCAAGGTCTTGGTGCGTGGTAAACAATTTTTAATGTCTGCTGGGAGCAGGTGGGTCCTTCCAAGATGTCCCAACACTCTGGGGAGTTCTCCATTGTACAGGGGATCTAATGTGTGGCCACATTAGCAAGTAGACCAGGGAAATGGACTGTTTGTTTAGCAAATGCTTCCCATGATTAGGTCTAGGGTGCTTGCGCAGGGTTTTGTTTGTACGCAGCACCACTTTTGTCCACTTTGCTCCGCGGTCCAATCTTCTCATGAAACAAATGGACTATTGAGAGTGTTCTATTCCCCCAAACAAGGTCCATCACTGGGACTTGTCCAGAGACAAAAATACCTGTACATTTCCTGGACACCATTTTTAATTCCCCGTAGACTATGGTTTTCTTCTCCTTCTGCTGGGAAGGCAGAAAACTCAGCAAGCACCAAGCTGAGTGCACAGTTCTGCGAGATGCATGAAGCTATGCAGCAGTGAGCCAACTTGGCGCCAAATGCCTGAAAGAGCATCAGCGCTGACCTTTCTCCTACACGCCTAGGCGAATCCGCCCGTGTCTTCGGGAGATCAAGACTTCTCCCAGGGGACTACAGTTTCCCTCCTCAAACATGGGGCAAAAATTCCCCTGAAACACTGCTGCTGCTCATTTCTGACAGGGCTTTTTCTTTCAGTAAATAGGCGGTGTCATCACTGCCGCTTTAGTCCTCTTGTCAAAAAAAGCATTACATTAGTGACCTTGTATCCAATTTGGAAAGAAGAAAGAGTATGGGAGTCCTGAAAGGGTTTGGTTTTTTTCATTCCTTTTTCAGATTTGTAAAGAGTTTGTAAACAGAAGCGTGTACTGCACGAGGGAGTCCAACCCTCACTGCGGCACGGATGGCGTCACGTACGGAAACAAGTGTGCCTTCTGCAAGGCAGTGCTGTAAGTGAAAGTACTGGGGATTGAAATAACAGAGGGAGTTGGCTCCATTTCCACATATCTAATGATGTTCTTCATGGAGGGGAGGCCCTGCATCCAGGCTGCTCCTCTTGTATGGACCAGCCCCTGAATCGTGCCAAGTGGAATGTTTCCTCCTTGGAACGGAGCTGTGTGAATGCAACTTAATTTTAATTCATTTCTAGGCTTTGCATGCTGCTGGTTGCCATGCCAAGAGGCAGCACAGGGCCTGGGAGGCAATTGCGTCCTGCCTGTACCTTCTGCACGCACTAAATCGATGCACATTTCCCACTATATGCCACAGGCTGCAACTCTCACTGCCCACACTTCTGGGTACTGAGAAGTGTCTGGAGGAATGTGGGAGCTAAGCTGTGCCAAATTATTCCTGAAAAGTCTGAATGGACTTTGTGGAACAAGACACAAAATCTCAGAGCAAGAACCTGAGTTTCTCCTTTTCCTGAGCTCTGTCACCTTTTAAAGGAGATGCAACAGGAGCCAGCACCCCTGGACTGAATGGGATTGCAAACCATTGGTTTTTCCTTCGCCGTCCTTAACCTTTTGTGCCCACTCAAGGCTGCTTTACCCTAGGGGAAATCAGAGAAGAGTCAGGAGAGGAGAAAACTGCTTGATGTTCCCTGTGAGGCACCAGGGTACACTAGCATGAATCAGGCAAATGGTCCTGTTTGGACAGATGAGCTCCTTGTCCCACATTGCTGTGTCTGTCATACACTGCTTTGTCTAAGTCTGTCTTTCTCCTTTTACAGGAGGAGTGGAGGGAAAATAAGATTGAAGCACCTGGGGAAATGCTGAGTCCTCACTGTGACCGAGCAGCAACAGCTGAACCCCTGTCAGCAATGGCCGCAGACGCCTGTGCACGGACATGGGAGCAGCTTGCCCTCATCTCCGTCGTCTCTGCTCAATAAAATAAAACTCAGCATGATTCTTTGGCTGGATTCCTTTTTCCACCCAGAAAAGCACTTTGATACAGCCGTGCTAGAGCTTAATGCGTGGCTTTGCTATACCGTGCTATTACATCACCCTCCTCCTGGGAAGCAAGGCCCTCCCTGTGCCAGAGCGGCGATTCCCACGGCTCCCGTGGGCTGTGTCCTCCCGTCCCCAGCAGCCGTAGCTCTTCTTTCCCTGTCCTGCCTGAAAAATTGGCACACGCCTGCTGGGCAGCCAAGCAGCACAACCACTCGTGGGCTCCTGCCCAATTCTCCCCATCCCAGGAGGTGGGTGACAGCGGGCGCCTTTATTCTTTACCCAGCCTCCATAGACATGTTCCTTCCTCTCTCGGAGGTTATTGTGGGAGGGTGACAGGAGATCTGGTGAACAGCGTGACGGCATATGCCTCATCTCCTTTGGAAACCAGAGACAAACAAGCTGAGGCTAGGGAATATTGCTCCATTTAAGCCTGCAACAAGAAGATGGCAGGTGGAGGCTGGTTTTAGGCAGAAGCTGCGAGGCTCTTCTTTCCAAATCAGTCTCTTTCTTCTTCGTTCTAAGAGAACGCTTTGTCTTGAAAACTGTGAACTCACCAGCATTAGTTTCCTGCTGCCAAGCGGCTTCTCATGCTAATAAAATTATATTTAGAAGAGCACCAGATTGTCTAAAGTGTCAATAATTAAAAAAAAAATATTCCCTGGAGGAGAAGAACCGTGGGCTTCCCCTCCCCACCTCTAGGATAAACTCTCCCTGAATCATACACAGACCTTGATTTTATAGGCACAAGGATTTGTATTTATTTACAATTTTTAATGCACATAGACGTTATTCCTTTCTTTTCACACTGCTGCCTTCTCTCTTCTTGATGCTGGCTGGAATATCCTTCTTCGTGCAAACATGAGAAAATGAATTCTATAGTCTCTCCCCATTCACTGTGCAAAATTCACACAGGGAAATACTTGTGGCATCCCCTTGTTAAAACATTGGCAACAGATCAATGGGACACCAGCACCTTCATGTTAAACACTTAACTTTCAAAGGGAGCTTTAGATTTTATCGTGAGCCTCAGGGGTCAACATATTTTGCAAGCACCTAAATGCTGAGCATCTAAACCTCTGGACCTTGTTTGGACAGAGCTTGAGTGTTTGCCTATCATGCCACAATCCACGCTTTGAACTCAATTGGGGCGCAATGCCTAAACAGAGAGGACTTAGCAATGTGCTCAGCACACCTAAAGCTGGTTTCTCTTCTGATAATTCATATTTGCGGTGCCAATTTGGGCAAACCCTTTGTCATTTGGTAACTTTACAGGCAGCGTGCAGGCGGCAGCCAGCCAGCGGTTGAACTGCGCAGGCAAAATTCTGTGTTAGCTGGTTTGGAGCTTCTTTCGGACCAGCTGTCTTTGATCCTGATATTTTTCCCGTCCCAATTTACTGGATTCTTGCAAAATCGACCACCTCTTCTTGGAAGCAGACTAATGCTCTCTGTCCCAGGTTGTACAGCCTGGGAAAGTGCACTTGTTTGGTTTGAAATTCAGATGTTACATTAGTAAACTCAACAGCAAGACATCCAGAACGTGGATAAGAGATTGAGGGGAGCAAGAAGCACAAAGACAAGTGGTCACAAAGGACATGTTGGGAAAGTGGGAGGACCCACCTCATCAATCCTCCTGCTTGGAGCAGAATGACCTCCTCACGTCCTCTCCTACCTGAGTTATCCTGCCATGATCCTATTACATTGTGTGGCTCTGGACCAGCACCATATTCAGAGCACAGGAGCAAAAAGACCCCATTTTTAAGATGGAAAGCAACATTTTAATGAGAGGGACATCTTTACACCTGAGATGGCGCTCAGTGACTCCAAAAATCTCACAGCATATTCCAGTATCTAATCCTTTCTAATCTGGAGGCTGAGATAACAAGGACAGATCACAAGAGAACAGAAACTTTCAGTGCAAATAGCAAATAAAAACACCTCTGTACCTCTACAGACCCAGCTACCATCTCCTCCACCTGTGCCGGGGGAGTGGAGAATGGGAGTCATCTCTTTTGAGGAGATTATTTCCCCCCGTCGGGGAAACTTCCCAAAACTTCCTCCCCAGGAAAGGCCAAGACAGGCAGCGCTATACCAAGTGAACGGCTTCTGTTGCGGTCCATCCTTCCGGCTGAGCGGGCACATTGCCCCGATTGACCAAGATGGCAGTGATGCTTTGCTGGTGCTGGGTCCATTCGCTCTTGGTTTCAGAGCGCTGTGCTTGCCTTCGCAGCAGGGCTGGTGGATGGATGCCAGGGACACGGTAGGAGTGTGGCAATGGCCACAGCCTGCCCAGACTGAGCTCCCGTCTGTGTCTGGCTGCCTTCCCGCACATGTACCAAACCAGAAACCAAACCTTCAGCCATTACTTTTCCTTTGATTTCCTTCCTCCACCTTTCAAGATGTGTTGGGTTTTGGGGATTTTTTTTTGACAGCTTTGAAAGGTGAGTGAGTCATGATATATTTGAGATCTCTCTTCTATTAGATAACATGAGCATCTTCACAGCTTTTTCTCTCCCTGGGGAGGAAGGGTCCTTAGCTATAGGGCAGAGGCTGGGGTGGGAGCTGCCCCAGCATGCCGGCTGCTGCCAGGACCTGCCCCTTGCAGCAGAATGAGGGCCCTGTGCTCCCTGTGTCTCACTCAGTCCCCCCTCGGCAGTTAAAATAATGGAAGAATTAAATTTGTGCATGGTTGCTCTTACTGAAAGGAAGCCTTTGCTCACAGCTGAGCACCCTCCCGTGACCAGGCTATGCACATGGCAGAGGGGAAGGATGTATTTCCATCTCACAGCTTCACTCTGCTGGTGATGCGGCTGATACATTATTGTGTCCAGGCTCTTGGCCCATTTAATGTGCTCCACTGCTTCCTCCTCCTCCCCAGCACAGGCACGTGTCACCGTCCCAACTCAGTTGAACCCTTTGTCCTACTGTTTTCCCTTGACATTCACAGCATTTGACAAGGCTTTTCTAGCTGCCATGGGACGATCCTAGGATGGTGGTGCTGACTGCAGGGTTCCCACAGCCCGGCTGGGGAGGAAGCTCTGGGCTTGGTATTCATTTCAGTTCACCCTCTTTTCCCTAAGACAAGGGAGGCTGGATCAGGTCAGAAGGGACTTTGGACCAACCTCCTGCTCAAGGCAGAGTCAGTTCCGAGGTCATATCAGGTTGCTCAGGGCATTATCCAGTCTAGCACTGAAAACTTCCAAGGGTGGAGAATGTATGGTCTCCCTGGGCTACCTGTCCCAGGGTTTGACTGTCATCATGGTAAAGAAGTTTTTCCTTGTATCCGGTTTCAACCTCTTTTCTTTCAACTGCCTCATCTCCAAGCCATGCACCACCGTGAGGAGCCTGGCTCCGTCTGCTCGGTAACCTGCTTGTTAGCTGGCAGGCTGCTCTTACGTCTCCCTGAAGCCGCCTTCTCACCAGGCTGAACAAGCCCACCTCCCTCCACCTCTTCTCACAGGGCAAATGCTCCAGCTCCCAACTCTCTTGGTGGGTCTTCACTGAACTTTCTCCAGCTTTTCAGTGCCTTTCCTGTATTGGAGGTGGGGCCCAAAACTGAACACAGGAGGGAAGGATGAGCTATGGGGACAAGGAAAAGGATTGTTCGGGGAGTAGGTAGGAGAACTGTAGGAGTACTGCAGGGGATTGAAAAGATGTAGATGGTGACAGTTGCAGGGAGCAGCAGGAGGGTGTCAGTGTGTATGGGGTCCTTTAAGGATTAGAGAGCAGCTGAGCCTGCTCTGGGGTGAAACGGCTCCCAGATGCTGGGAATCAGCCAACAGTTCCCCCATTCCCATCACAGTTGAAGGACTTAAATAGGAGACCAGGGGAAGCATTTGACTGTTTCTACTGATTCCAGAGCAAAGAGAAGGTGAGGGGTTTGCTTTGTGGTGTGAGTTTTGGTTTATTTTTCCCCCTGAAATGAGTAGTGTGGTTTAGGAGCTTCTCATGGGAGTAGCTGCAGTAATTTTCACTGGTCTTGGTGTTTTATAAGGCTGCTCTAAAAATGCTGGGGAAGACTTATAAAATGCATGTGGGAGACAAGGGTTACCATGATACATAAAGGGAGAATGGGGGAGGCATAAGATCTATCTGTACAGAAAGGCAGGTACTGCATAAAGCGTTGCTTATTTTAAAGCTCCAGTCATGAGATGGTGTTCCAAGGCACCTCTTTGGCTTTGACACCCATGGGGCAGTGACGGGCAAGAGCTTCAATAAGGTCAGCTCCTTGGGTCTCTAGAGGAAGCAGGGCTTTGGCAGAGCCTCAGTCAGGACTTGAAAGATAAGGTCAAAACTGAGCTTCTGCTGGGCCCGGAGGGATGCCCTGACCAAACTGAGGCTGGCCCCAAGCAACAGCTTCAGTGTTTGTAGCAGGGTTGGACCTAGTACCCAGCTTGCGGAGTAAAGGTTTCCCAGGGATGTGGTGGTGCTGTGTAATACAGTGCTTCCCGTTCTGAGCTAAAATTGCTCAATTAATTGGGAGTGAACTGAAACGTCGGTATTGTGGCAAGGGCTGGCTGTGACACTTCTGGCCTTCTTCCCAAAGAATGCCGTGCCTTTCTTTGGGAGGGTGATTTTGTGGAGTCACCTGTGGTAAAACCATCAGCTGCCTGGGCCCTGCCCTGTAAATGCATCCTCCTGTCATCTTCTGTTTCTAGACATACCCTTAATCCTTACTCACAGTTACAACCAGCAAGCGGATGCTCCAGTTCTGTCTGATGATGATGACCCATTAAAAAGCAGCTAGGAGGGGCTGCAGAAGGTCACCTGCGCTGCTCCCCTGTCCCAGGCAGGGACACCGCTGCCCGGCACATCTCTGCCAGGAGGAG